GGGGGAGGGCTCCAGCAGCATGAGGTGGAGGGCGCTCGGCTGCTGGCATGGCGGCACGTCGACTCTGGGGGTTGGGGGTTGGCAAGGTCGGGGTTGTGGGGATGCGTTTGGGAGGGGTTTGCTTGGGTGAGGGGGCTGCTGGGCTGCTGCATGAGGCCCTGGTCCATAGCAGCTTGCTGATGGCATAACTTCCTGCTCTGGGCTGTTGCGACTGTGGACACCACCCCATGGCTGAAATTCAGGACTGTTGGTCTGTTGGTCGGCCGCACACTGGAGACGATGACGAGGACTGCACCCCTGCCCGACCAAGTTTTGGTGATGCCGCGCACCTGACAGCCTGCTTGCTGCCTGGCGCCAGGTCAGCTAGTTGGTGGGCAGCAACGGCCTCTCCATCACGGACGATGAGCAGAGTGCGCGGCGGCATCTGTGGCAGCAGGGCCGTGCCCTCCTCGGTGGACTCGTCGCAGGCCGCTGCCACGGGGCCCGTGCAGGCCGCAGCAAGATGCACAAGAAGCCGGTGACCTGCTAGGTGACCCGATTCGAGGAAAGGCGGCCAGCACAGCGTCGCGCGAGGCCCGCCGGGACGCTGATCTGCGAGCCGACCTCCCATGGTGCAAGTGTGCAGAGACAGTCTATATGATGTTTTTAGCGAGCACAGGATCACGCTAAGGTGTGTCGAAGGTTTTCGGCGAAGTGCCGGGCTGCACGTGTACTGCACTACGGTATAACAGGCCGGGCATGTATGATACAGGCCTTTGAGATGCCATCAATATTGTTTGTGTGTGTTATAGTATGTGCCCCGCGGGATGGGCTAGCTCCTGCCGAAAGCGTCTCCGATCCTGGCGATTTGGCAGGACAGCAGTCGCCGTGACATGAGGGCAGGACGGTGCATCCAACACGCGCAAAGTGTGTGTACTGCAATGTGGCAGCACATTGTGTAGGGATGGGTCCGTGGCCGCCTTGGAGCAGGCGTGAGGCTGGCCACCAGCGGGAAGCGCCCTGTCATCACACATAGCGTCCTGACGTGCGGCCTACCTTTTCGGGTCGGCGTCGCCAAACCCCTTGGAAAACTTGTCCAATATTACAAATGTGATGGAAAAGCCATGCATGGCCTTGGATGCTGCATGCGAGGGCTGTGCGCGTCACTTGGCTTCTGCGCCCAGCCGTCGTGGTCCGCAGGCGCCCCAGCCGCCTTGCGTTCCCCGCCCTGCGGCCGCCAGCAGTAGCCCGCCGCTCGAGCTGCTGCTGTCGCTGCTGCGCCTGCTGCGACCCAGAACCTGAGGCCCCTGCTGGGACCCGCCGCGGCCGCCGCCCCCCGAGTAGGTGCCCATCGCCCCAAAACCCCCCGCGCCAGATAGCCTCATCGACGCACGGCCCGCCCGCGACGGCTGCTGGCGCCCGCTGCCCGACCAGGCCGGAGAGTCCGAAACGCCGCCCGCCCCGGACTGCGACAGCGACAGCCTCTGGATGATGCCCTGCGCCCAGTCCGCGCCCGCACGCTCTGAGCTCGGCGGCAGCCTTGGGCCACCGCTGGCGCCGCCGCTGCTGCTGCTGCCTGAGGGGCTTGAGGGACGCGCCGGTGGCTGGCGCCCGCTCCCAGTGCGTGGTATGGTCAAGCTGCGGCTGCAGCTGCGGGGCGGGCTATTGGGGCGCGGCTTCGACTCCTGGCAACGGGCGGGGGACCCCTCATCGTCGCTGAAGCGGCGGAAAACGCCTGTGTACGTCCTGGGCAGTGCGCCGCCCTGACGGCAGGCAGTGGGGGTATGGAGGTGTGCGTGGTGTTAATGATGTAAGCCAAAGGTGGGCATATGGACTGCCATTATCCAGATGTCAGGGAATGTTCATGTTTGGGTGTTGCTAGGAAGCGTAGCAGTGCGTGTGATGATATAGTGATGCCGCAGGCCGGTCGCTCCATCATTCATGGATGCCTTTGCCTTGCCCACCTGCCCGAGATTGCGTCGCGGAGCACCCAGGCTTGGCGCAGACGACAGGCGACCACCAAGCCATCGTGGCGCCGTGCCGCCATCAGCATCGCTGCTGCTGCTGCTGCTGCTCCGCTCGGCTGCGCCGCTTGGGCGCATTGCAGCATGGTGGCGGAAAGCGGCGCCCTGCTGAGCGCGCCCAACTGGACCTGCCCCTAGCTGCCGCGCCTTGGTAGCCTGGTTCGCCTGCGTCAAGCTGCGCAGCTCCGCCATGGCGCCACGGATGTGGTGGCTTGCAGTGGAAGGCCGGTTCCGTCCCGCAAACATCCCAGCTGCGCGGCCAGATGCGCGCCGCCCGCCCTTGCCGTCACCGCGATCGCCGCAGCTCGAACTGCATGTACTGCTCTCGCTGCTCCAATCGAGCGCTGCGCTTGGGTGCCGGCTGCTGGTGCCGCTGCTGGCGCGCAGCCTGCCGGCGATGCTGCCTGCACGCGCAAGGGCACCTCTCTCAATGCTGTCCCGCCTGGCGGCGCTGACCCACGGCTGGAGCTGCAAATGCTGCCGGCTGCTTGAGCGGGGAACCGAGCTCCTTGGCAAGATGCGTTCATAGCCACTGCTGCTGCCGTCGCTGCTGCTGCATTTGCAGCCAATTTTGGGGTGTGCAGCGTCAGTGTGCGAACTCCGCTTTGACCGCAGCGGCCGGGTGGGTGGCTGTAGGTGCAGCGAGCTGAAACGCTGGAGGCCCGAGGCTTGGCGTGCGGGAGGACCTCGTTGCTTCACGCGGGCGCCAGCGCTATATGACAAATCGGAAGACGACGAGTCGCTCTGCCCGCAGGGCTTTTGAGCGGTTTGAGCGACGTTAAAGGTGCGTCTCGTGGCAGCGACCGAGGGGCTCCTGCGGCCGCACGGCGCCACGAAGGGGGTGAGGGCCTGCTGCCGCCGTGAGGCGCATGCCGCTGCGCCCCCACCGCCAATGGCTACATATTTGCTGCTGTCGCTGTCGCTGCTGCTGGCATGTGCAACGTTGCTGGTGCGCACGTGCTGGCTGAGGCGTGCTCCCTGATGCGGGCTGCGGCTGGCCCGTGCGCAGGCTGATGTGCCCCCGCTCCTGCCGCGGGCCCGTCGCTGCCTCCGCTCCCAGGCTCCCCCGCTAGTGTCGCTGGATTCACTGCTGTCGCTGCCGGCGCCGCAGGGCTCCCTAACGCTCGCCCTCTGCCGGGCGCCAGCGCTCGTGGCTGCAAGGTCAACGATATTGATGTCAGAGGTGCGCCGTCGTCGCCCGCTGCTCCTGCTGCCGCCCCTTGCGCTGTTGCTCCTGCTGCTGCCCGACTCGCTACCAGGGAGCCGGCCATCGCCCATGCCTTCGTCCAGCTCAGCTGCGCCTGCCACGCCATCCGCCTGCGGCTGCTTCCACCCTCCAAGGGGGTAGAATGGGTCGGCGCGCGGCAGCGGCGCCGGCGGGTGCCGCGGCGGCGGCTCCAGAATTGCAATGGTAGAAGCGCCGCGGGCGCGGCCCTCGTCGATAAGGAGGGCCCGCACAGCAGAGTACTCCCGGTGAAGCGACGGCGGGGCTCGGCAGGCGCTCGCGCCGCCGCTTGCTGCAGGCAAAGGGAGCACAAGGTACGGGACGCCAGCGGTCCTCAGCACTAGAAATATGCCAATGTGTTGATTCATTGTGATGTGCATGCATGGGTTAAGCAAACAAGCAGGGCACATTCCAGGTATGCCTGTGCTCGCACCTGCACTCGCAAGGCGTGCATCAATCGCCTCGCCCACCGCAGACTGCCTGGTCGCCGGTGCTGCCCCCGCATCCCTGCCGCCGCTGCCCCACCCGGCGAGGGTCGCCATGCTGCGCCGGGCTGCCCCATAGAGTGGTACTTCGCAAGAAATCTGGCCTGCAAGGCTCTGCCGCCCCTGCAAAAATGCTCCCGTTGACTCACGCCGTGCAGAGACGGCGGCTGCGGCATCCGACAGAAGCATGGAGCTTGCGCGCTCCCCTACCCCGTCGAATGGGCTCTGGCTACTGCGGCCTGATAGCCGTGCCGACACAGCTGGTGAGGCCCGCCCGCTGGGCGCCAGCGTCGCGGCAGCCGCGGCGGCAAGGCTCACGCGGCCGCCGCCCCTGCCTTGCAACGGGGGTGCTGATGATGGGCGAGCTGTGTGCCAGCTAGCCGGCGGGGCCGCAAAGGGGCTCGGCTGGCGCGGCGGCAAGGGGAGTGTTGCAGAACTTGCAGCTTCTGTGTTCCGTGCTCTTGGGCGAAGATCAAGCTCCCCCTCAACAGGTGGCTCCTCATCCCACACAAAGACGCCGTGCTGGTGTGGCGGCGCGTAGGCGCCGGCACCTGCTCCGGCGGCCCTGCCCCACGCCAAGCTGCCGCGAGCGCCGCCGGTGCCGCCGCTTGGACGCGGATCCGCGAGCGCGCCCCCGCCGCAGCCCTGCGGCTCGGGTGGCGGCGGCATCAGCAGCAGGCCTGTGCCGACACCCTGCTCGGCCCCGAGCCCCGTCAGGGCAGTGGGTGTCGGGGACCCCAGCATCCTGCTCATGGTGCTGGAGCGCGCCTGAAGGTATGAGAGCAGCTGCTCCTTCTCTGCGCTGCGCGCGGTCAACGAGGAGGCGGCCTCACGGTTCGAGACGTACGCGCCCTGCGCCGAGGGCGGCGGCGAACCCGCGGCCAGCATGCTGCGACGCATTTGTGGGCGCTGCGGCTGCGCCTGCTGCGGCGTCGACAATTGCTGCTCCCCGCCGCTGCCGCGCCAGGGATCGAGCGGCAACGGGCCGCTTTGGCCGCCCAACCCGGGCGCGGAAGTGCTGGCGGCTGCGGCTGCGGCCGGCCCGTGGCGCGTGCCGCTGCAGATGCTGCGGCGCAGCGCCACTGCTTGCAACACCTCCTCGGGCACAGGGCTGCTGGAGGCACTCCTCGAGGGGCGCATAAGGTCAGTATTGAGGGACGTCGCCGCATGAGACACGCGCCTCGCGTCGTCCCACCACTGCTGCTGCAGGCCGCGCTTGTCCATGGCGGCGAGCGCGGGGCCGGCCGAGCTGAGGCGCATGGTGACTCGCACCAAACTTAGAGGCTAATGCGACGGATGAATGTCGACCTTTCTGCCCGTCATCGCGAGAGCATGACAATGCAATCGCGCAAGAGAGCTGACTTTCAAAAAAACGCGCTATGAACACCTTATGGTTGGACCTAAGCGTTATATTGGTAGTACGTGTTACAAGGGACGCAATCTATGGCAGTGTTCATGCGTGTTTTTGATTGTTGACTGGTCAATCCTCGTTCACTGCCATGCTTCCGCACCCAACACGCCCGCTTGATTATACCTCCAGCAGCCGGCAATGGTCTGTGCGGGGGTGACGAGGTTGATGAGATGGGACATGTGGGACATTGAGCCCTTGACGCCCATGTTGGAAGGCCTAGCGAGAATGTTGTGTGTATCATAACAGTGACAGGGCCTGGTCTTGCCAGTGCGATGAGTGACCCAGATCCAACACATAAAACGCATTGAGCAAACAACTGCGATTTTCGTCAATCGCGCTGAAAGCGCCTCGTGCACTTGACCGTCACATTGAGCCTCAGACAGCATCCCTCAGCTCGGCTTGGTGCTCAGGGAAGCAGCTTGTACCAGTCGTGCATGTGCGCAGCACAGAGTGGTTCCACGTGACCTTGAGTCCGCTCAAGCAGGTTATCAGGATGCCGATGCCTCAATCTCGCGGCGTGGTGCATCGACGAGCGCCGACAGACGCGAAAACGAGCAAATATCCTGGGGGGTACCCTGCCACCATGTGCGCTCCACCAGGCAGCAGGGAGTCTGCAATTTCAAGTGATGCTGCGTGCTAGGTACAAGAACTGCCGTGTCAAACGCAGTCGCGCACAGGCATTACAGCAGCATGCAGCATGTGCAGCGGGCGGCACCAGGTGACGTGGTGTGTACCAGGTGTGCACCCAACCGATCATGCAGCTTCTGTGCTTCGGTCATGTCGATTGTTGACTTGTAACACGTCTTGACATATATACATATGAACATGTCCATTCAGATCCAGGACATTGCATCGTAGCTTGTTCACCCAACCCGCGGCCTCAGGGGCCGTGTACGCGCGCTGAAAGGCTTGTATCGGTCAAAAACTGCCATCTATAGGCAGCCATGTTCTCGAACGGCTACGTGGGCACCGCCCAGGACTCCCAGCGCATCAGGCGCCAGGAAAAGCAGCGCGAGGAGCAGCGCAAAAAGTACGAGGACCAGCAGGCACAGCAGCGTGAGAAGGTACTGAACGCGGGCCTCAAGCAGTTCGGCTCGTCGAAGTCCGAGGCCTATGAGGCCGCGTTCAAAACCGAGACGGTGGGCCTGGTCACCCGGGAGGAGTTTATGAACAAGCGCAACACGATTCAGCAGCGTCTGGCTGAGGAGGAGGCCCGCGAAAAGGAGGCAACAGAGGCAGCGGCAGCGGCGGAGAAAGAGCGGCGCAAGCGCGAGAAGGCTAAGGCCAAGCTCAAGGCCAAGCTGTCCTTCCTGGGAGATGTGAGCCTTTGGCGGTGCTGTCTGGCATGCAGGGAGCAGCATGCTTGCACACTGCACACTGTCTAGCCATACGCGCCCTCGGTGCGAATGTGAGCCCGCGCCCATTCTTGGCTAGGTGGCCCAGCGCAGAACGAACGGCTCGGACACGAGCCGCTGGGTGCATGCGCGGGACAGCGGCGGCTGGCTAGTCACGCATCACCCTCTCCCGCCTGACGGCCCCCGCCTCCATGGCCGCTGCCCCGCGCCCCGTCACCCCCAGGGCGAGGAAGAGGACGCAGAGGAGCCCGATGGCCCCCCCGCAGCAGCCGCCGCCGCGGAGCGCGCCGCCAGCGGCGCCAACGCCAGCACGAGCGGCGGCGAGGGCTCCGGCGGCGCGGAGCCCGAGCCGGCGGCGAAGCGGCCCAAGCTGTCGAAGCTGGGGAAGGACCCGACAGTGCGGACCGATTTTCTGCCGGACAAGGATCGGGAGGTCATGGAGGAGGAGCTGCGGCAGAAGCTCAAGCGGGTGGGCGGGGCTGCAGAGGGAAGGGTCGGCCGCCTGCTGACGTCAGCCAACCCGCGACCAGGGGCCGTGCGGGCGGCGCGGATCTTGCGGCACCAAGGGGCCCTTCTTGAAGCGTAGTGGTGGTGGTGGTGTGGGGGCAGGGCCCCGCATTAGCGGTAAGCGCCGGGCTTGTGATACCGGCCCGGCTGCGCGCGCCCCCCGCCCCCTAGGAGTGGTTTGACCAGCAGGAGGCCGTGAAGAATGAGCCCCTGGAGGTCACCTACAGCTACTGGGACGGGGCGGGGCACCGCAGAAAGATCACGGTACGAGTGTGGAGGCTTGTGTGTGCGTGTATGGTGTGTGTATGTGTGTGTGTGTGTGTGGGTGCGTGTGTGTGTGTGTGT